GGAAGGAAGGAAGGACGGAAGGAAGGAGGGAGGGAGGGAGGGAGGGAAGGAAAAGCAATTGCTTTGTATTCATGAAACAGGCTTGAAGCTCATATAAATTACATTTCAGATTAAGCACATACAATATTTCAATGCTACTGGAAGAGAAATCTAACTGTGGCATTATCTCTTGTTCTACTTTCTCAATAAATGATTTACCAAAGAAATAAAATTCTGTTTGGATTTTACACAAATGTGGATTTTGAACATAGCTTTAGTGCATGTTTGTTGTTCCGCACACTATAAGCAGAAAGCCTGTGCTAAATATTGTCCAAATCCCATATTATCAGCTCATTACCAAGTCCTGTCACTGTAACTGTAGCTGGCTTTGAGGCAATCTTTCCAAACTGGTTTTCAGCTTCACAGATGTATGTTCCTTCATCATTAACCCATAAATCTAAAATTGTATAGAAGTTTTAAAAAGGAAAAACAAGCAATTAGTATTTTGTATTAAAAAACATTATCCTTAAATAAATAGATCTGCAAATATATATTCCCTTTGAATATTATTTTTCCAGCTATAGTAAACTAATCCTAAATATAGTTCACAACATTTTAACAGCCTGAAAGCAGTTACAGAGTTCTTCCAAATGTCCTGGTTGCTGGGATATGAAGATGCTCTCTAACCATTTACTGAGGACATGTCCTCACAACAATGCCTCCAACTGGTTGCCAGGCAGATGCTGAGCCAGGCTGCAGCTGATCTAAGGTGTTCCATTCTGAAAGTAGTATTTTCTCTGCTAATTCAGCAGATGACTTTAAATGTAGACATTCTAGTAGACATTGAGGAGAGGCCTTTGGAGGTGGGCAATCTGCTGGGCTCCAGTGGCCCAGTACAGAACTACCCCTAGCTGGAGGATTCTGCATCTCCATGGCCATTTTTGCTGTGGCTGCTACAACTGGAACCTCACTGGCACAGCCTGATTTTTTTATATAGTGGGAGGCTTCCAACATGAGAATATCTGCCTTATGTAACATCAATCATAGGAAATCAATATGCTCATTGATAAGCAAAAATTAAAAAAAGCAGATCTTCATCCAGCATCTTTCCCCCCTTTTTCTGATGAGTAGAAAGAGTACATAGACAGGTAGACAGACCATCCTTATCATCTTCTGGCCCATACCTCAGAGTAAGTCAAGGTGAATTCAAGGAAGCTCAGTCTGGGAGTATATGTACATTGAATGGGGCTTACTGTGTGATTTCCTGACCTCAAGGATTTACCAACATTGAGAGATCTGTGGTGGAATTCTAAAATATTATTCCTCTCTCCATCTGATAAACACAAGCTGTATCATTCTACTGCTCCACCAGCTGCATTCCTTAGGTTTATTACCCCATCAATAGAGAAGCAGCACAGATCTGGGCATATCTATTCTGAAGTAAGTCCTGTCTATTTAGTAGGGCCATAGGATCAGCAGCAAGAACAAAAGGGAGCAGGTTCAAGCAATATTCACAAGAAGGCTAGTTTCAATTGGAGGGAGGGAATCATGAGACCCAACCCCACCCCACGGGAGCAGTTGATTATTTATTTTCTCTTCAGTAGATGGTGCAAGGTGGGAGGGAGAAGGCTAGCATGGATTCTACCAATTACTGCCCTGAATTTACACCATATTGTAGTATGTGTGGGCAGCAAGACTGACTAGCAGAGGCTTTTCATACCAACATACTTTCCTCTAGACTCAGGGATGAGAGTAAAGCACATTACCACAGATGTTTG